AGCCTCAGCAGGTTCAGCGAGCCCTGCTTCAAGGCAACGGCTCCCACCACACAGAGTGCCAGGAACGACTTCATTTCGGGAGAGCGGACGAAAAAAGGGCAGAGCTAGGTCGGCTAAGCTTGGCTCTGCACTGAGCCCAAACGGCCATTGTCAGGGCATGCGATCGGCTTTTCACAGCATTCAAACACTGGCCAAGATCTGTGCACAAGGGAACCTCCCTCAACCGTGTTGATTTGCAGCTTTTCGTTATGAAGCTGCACCCTCGTAGCAATGTGTTTGAATAAACATCTTCCTTGTGGGCATTGTGGTCGGACAGAGAGCTGCTTGCGGCCGAAGATTCCTATACCCTGCTCTCGCTGCAAACGGCGGCTGCCGAGGAAGCCGAAAACTCCGAGCCTCGGGCTGACGTCGCAGTCTGCGCAGTTTCCACATGAATGCTCGGACAGCATCTTTCCAATCAACACCTCCAACATCGCACAAGACTGGACTAACTCTTTGCGCTGTGCGTGTGTTTGCTCAGGGTTGCGATTGAAGACTCCGTTGCCGAGAGGCCGGTACTCCACCGTAACGACCACAATTCCTTGAGCGCAGATACGCAGCTTTCCCACTTGCAAAATCCAACGAAACACAGGCAAAGCTGAACTGAATCCTCCAAACAAACCAAGTGTCCGTTGCCGAGGACTAGTTCCCTCAGCGTTTCCTTCTTCCTTAGTCAGGCAACACATCGTCGGCTGCTTACTATAAAACTTGCAAAAAGCCACGCCGCTGCGAACCTTTCTGCTCGAAGCTGAAAGATGGCTAAACCGAGACCAAGCCCTAAAACTCGCATGTTCGACATGCTCATATCCAGCACGGAGGATGCCGTTCCCCTCAGCCTCCCTCCCGCTGGCTTGTAAATACAATGAAGGCGAACTCCTGCCCGACACTTGTTACAAACATGTAAACCAACATGCGTTTACCAATAATGCTACGAGTATGAAGAAGGCAGAGGGACCGTGACGAGTCACGATACTGCAAAGGCAACTAAGCATAGTCGCGTGGCAGGTCGGTCGCAGATCCAAAAAGAAAGCTGCCTCCATGTAGGAACACCTGGGGAGGGGCTGCTAGAGCTGCTAGAGGTTCTCAGAGAAAACTAGTTTTCTGTTGGACGCCCCCTTCCTTCCGGCCGGTCTCCCTTTCGTCAGGGGGTTTTGGGAGTGTCTTCTCAAGGTCCCGAGCTCCGAAGAGTGCTCCACGACTGATTCAAGATCTGCACCCTTGCATACTGTCGATCGTGTGACATGAAAGAAACCGTTCATTCATTATCAGGAAAATCCGGCATTTGCACGCACCGGTGCATATACTTCTTGCTGCAATCATGTCAAGGTGCCATAACTGCGTGCTTCTCCTTCGTGTCACCGCCTCAGATGGCTGGCACCTCTCCTTCAAACCAGATATCGCAGCACTCAGCAAGTAATGGGACCCTGTGTCAAACATCCTGGTGGCCTTGAATCAGGTTTGAGTGCTTGACAAAGTCACTGTGATCTAGACGTGCCGAACAATGATCACCTACATTGATGATTCTGGCACCCTGCAGCTTAGCCACGTGCAGGGACTGGTGCGTACACGTTCAGTGTCAAGCAGTCTTCCTGTCACGGAGGGCCAACAGGCACGCGTCGGCAGAGTAGAATAAGAGGGCTTTCCTCGTCCTCTGTGTCGAATCATTTCCCCGTCCCAGGCAAGGCTGCTGAATTCTGGAAGCCTAAACCCCAGACTTCCCAAAATCTTCTGAACTACCTGTCACTCTAACTAATGACTAATGACTGAACCGTCATGAGTAAGCCCCTGTTCAAGCCAGGCTGCTTCCATGTTCTGTGGCAAGCCAGGGCGTGGGCCTCAGAAAGCTCAAAAAAGGGGGAGATAACCAAGCTTACTAAAGGATTGTTGCGTATGCCGAAGGTTCTCTCGAACGAACGACGATAGTCAGAACATCAAATGTAAGGACACAGCAAGACCTGATGTAGGACTCTTCAATGTAACCGCGGAATCCAGTCAGAACTACCAGATGCATGCCAACAGTCAGTTGCAAAACCCTTTTGGAGCCCCGCAAGTTATAGAGGCAAGCTCAAACTCTAAAGCATCAGTTGGCCTTTCTCAGTTGGAAGGGCAATAAATCCTGCAAGGTGCAGGTTGCCCCGAAGTGCGAGGCATTGAACCAGCCCGAACCCTCGCTGGCCGGCTTTGGGACTTCCCAGCGGCCTGGCAGATCGAAGTGAGGCTCCGGACGCTAACGTAGGTTTGAGTCTGTTTACGGACGTGCAAGGAATAAGGTTTTGTGGGAGTTTGTGGCAAAGCCCAATCCGAACCCCAAGTTGCAAAACCTCTAGTCGTAGCATTTGCACGGGCACCCCAAGGATTGTATGGAAGGCTGCAGGGGCGGCTGGACAAGAGTAGCCCACTTAGAAAGCCACCGAAGTGTAGTTTTTTTTGCGGGCAGCAACGTTGTAGAAGGCTCCTGTACTTACGCAGCTCAGCAGAAGACGGGCGCGGGGAGTAACAGGAACCCGGCTTGAGAGTAGCGGAAACCATTTCGCAGGGTCGTAACCGGAACGAGGGCTGGTAGAAACAGGAACCTCACCTGCACTGTAACAGGAGCTGTGCCGGGAAGCCCGGCAACCGAAACTAGGCTGGAACTCATGGAGGAAGTTTGTTGAGGGTGACCGATTTTTCGATCCCCTACTTTGACACCGTTAAAGCCTTGTACTGACGGCTATGTTTCGATCAGTAGCAGCAGGAATAACAGCAGCAGTAGCGGTAGCAGTAGCAGTAGCAGCAGCACTAGAAGTACCACGAGCCGTAGGAGTAGTAGTGGCAGTAGCAGTGGCAGTAGCAGTAGCACTCGCAGTNNCCCCCCCCCCCCCCCCCCCGCAGTTCTCCACAGGCCCTCTCATTTCGTGTACACGGTGTTCAGGATTTGGGAGTGTCGGGTTAACTAACCTTTGGGATTATAAAATCCCATCCATTTATCCCCAAGTGTAGCTAACAAGACATAAAATTGAAGCTGTGGACATGAGGCCACTAGAAACGGGGGCACAAAAGGCAGCATCTGTGGACATGTTGCACCATATGCATCGGCTGCTCTCACTCGGTGTCTCTCAGAACAGGACGGGATCATCATGCAGACTTCTTCAGTGCACGTGTGGACGCAAGCTGCGTCTCTGCCAGGCTAGTTTCCACGCGTTTCGAAAAACGCTCATTTGCAGGTTCCAGGTAGAGCTGTCAACGTTGCTGTCGCCGGGTCGTATGGCACCAGGAAACTTAACTTCGACTTTTCCCTGCTCAGCCCCTTGGGTGGAATGACTGCCTGGGTACTCGGCAAAAGGTGTTGCCGAGAAGGGACAGCAGCGTGCGTTTCCATAGGCGCTTTGACGTCCTTGACGCTCTGATGCCCTCCCCGAAGCAGCGTTCGCTTTCGTCTTGGCTTGCAGAGCCAACGGTGCACTGTGGCGGGCCTAGACGGCCAGACCGCTGGCGCTTGCACTCGGAAACTGCAAAGATCCACTGCTATATCTTCGCGAAAGTAGTCAGAGGTTCCAGCTTTGGAGGCCTTGGGTTCCACCTCTCATCTTGAATGGGCTGAAGCTCTATGCTTCTTGACTCGTGGCAGCTTCGGCCCATCCCAGATTGCAACAGGGTTTAGGGTTTACACTCTCACNNGCGAGGATCCATAGGTGCACAAGTCGGCGTGACACTTCAAGCAGGGTTTAGGGTTTGGGGTTTCGGGTAATGGGGTTAAAGGGTAGAAGTGGACAAAGATTTCACCCCAACCTCTGAACTCTGAGCTTTTGACCTAAATTCCCGCATCACTCTGCGCAATCCTCCTCGAATTTGAGTGTGTCAGGTCGGCCCCGTCCGGGCCCGGTCCGCGCAGGCTGGAAATTGTGCAGCTGGCCCAAATGAAGACTTGCCCCCAAGGGTTTTCTCAGAACTTTGATGATAAGGGTTCTACACAGAGGCGAGTTTTAGAGAAATTTAGGCTGTAGACTTTATGGAGCTTAAGGTTTAGGCCTCAATGCTCCTGATTAGTGTTGTGCCCACAATGGTCTCGGACTCCCCTCCAAGGAAAAAGGAGGCGAGCGGGACCGCTGTACCGTATCCCCGACACCACTCGGAGATGCCTATTCCCCAGCAGTTTCGGGATTTACACTGCAGATGATTCGATTGTGTCTCCGAACGGCTCCCACATTGGTGAGCACGAATTGCAAGCGCCGGCGGCAATGGCAGCAACTAGGACCGCCGCAGCTACAAGGCGACCTATGATTCCAACAGGCCTTTCCAGAATTGTTCAGCTGTAGGCATCGGAAATTCGGGACCAATGCAACATGACATGGCATGTTGAAGACGTGTAAGAGGGGCACCGCAAAGCGGTTCCTCTCTTGTAAGCCAACAAGAGTAGGCGGAGGCGACAATAGTCATTGTGGGAGCTCCCCGGTGGTTCCTGTTAGAAGAGGCAGGCCGGTGCTGTTACAGAAACCCGTGGTCGCTGTTATGGAATCCCTGCCGGTTCCTGTTACGGGTTCCCGTTACGGCAAGCACTCCAGCAGAAGACAGCTACCACCCCCACTCTGCAAGAGCGCAAGTCACCTGCGCGTGCATATTGGATGCCCAGGTGTCTATGCATAGAACCGTCCTCGACAATCGACAATCACAAAACACGGCACGGAATGACAATCTAGAGTCTTGGCCAAACCAAGCTACATGCCGCACCGGTGCAGGGACCGCTTCGCTAGGCATACTGCTGCGTTGCAACATGTTGCAACCGTTCGTTGCAGCTCATGTACTGACTGTCATGTGCAGCGACTTCACAGTTCAAGCCGCTGTGTCAGCTGGCAGGATTGCGTAGTCTCCGCACTCATTGCCGAGATGCTGATACTCCAGCGAACGTCCCGGCTGGAGCGATGACTTCCACGACCTGGTCATCTGCTTGGGTGCCTGAACGGTGGTCGCAAAGCCTACATGGCAAAGCCCTTCCGGTAACAACTCGACTGTGCTATTTTGCAGCAAGATGTGGTAGCCGCGTTCCTGAGACACTGCTAATCCTGTGCAGCTGTTAGGGAAATGATTGCAATTTACAAATTCCTGTGTCGCTGCTTTGTGGCAATGTGTTGTTTCTAAACTGTTATATTCTTAAGGAAATTGCTGTGCAAGGTTCTGTTTTGCAAAATTACAGATCGCATGAGCTCGGACGAAGGTGCTCTTACTTTGATTGTAAAACTGGGGTGCGGGGTGGTTGGATGCATACTGATAGGACAACCAGCCGTTCGGGCAAAGCTCTTGAGTAAATACTCTTGCCACCAGCCTTTGCTAACACGGCGATAGTACGATACTGTTTGAGGTGAGCTTGCACGGGGCGGCGGTGCCAGCTCCTTGGGTTCCGTGTCGTCGGGTTATAAGACTAAGTGACTAGGCCTAGGCCTACTAGCCTAAGAGGCTATTCTCGACATGATTACGAGTTATCCAACCCTTTGTTGTCGCCACATCCCGCGTGTGGCTATCATCAGGCTGTGGCGCAGCCTCTGACATGGCACGGTGAGCAACCATGCCACTTGAGTTAAGCTTGCACCCAAACTTCAAAAGCATCGGCGCAGCCCAGCCGCAACGAATGAAAACAAACAACCCCCTCCACACTCACATCCGGAAACCAGAATAAATGAACCTACGGCCTGGGTCTACGGGCCTAGTTACTTCGTTGTCCAAGCCCGCGGCTCAAAACAGATGCTGATTACCTTTGTTGGTTGTTGACCCGGCTGGCTCCACTCACGCCCCGTGGTTTTCCACAAAGATCAGCAAGGCCACTATTCCTCTCTGGCAGCTGCTCCGCCACATCAGCCCACGGCCACGGCATCTGAAGCAGACAGAAGCACAGTAGGAAGCCAAATGCGAAGCCTCAGCTGACATGTGGGAGCGCCAAAGCAGCCCAGGACACCAGGAAGCAGGTTTGATGGCTTCAGGGGTTGATTCCAAAGGCATGCATGGACATTACTGACAGCACCGATTGATTGGTCCCTCAGTCATAAACCGAGTAGCTTGGCCACGACCTGGACGGCTGCTTGCTGTTGGGATAGCCTCCTGTGCGGGGGCAAAGAAGGTCGATGGGGTTACAGGATGGGTAGCTTCTTCGAAAACAACTGCGCAGGCTGCCAGCGCCGGGTACTGCTCCTGGCAGTTGTACATACTCTGCGCTTTTGCCTTCCATTGCAGGATCGAAATGCAGCACGGTTTTCAAGCTGCAGGAAAATTCGAGCAAAAGCTGCGGTCGATTCACTGTCTCGGGTAATCATGGCTCAGTCTCAGGCCTGTCGTGCCCGCCAGTGCCCACCGGGACGCTAAGCACGTTTTGCTTGCACTGCGACATTCGCGCCATCGCAGGCTGCGGATCTGGTGTCTGATAAGACTGTGATAACACTGATAAGCTTCTGCATCTTGGCAGTCCTTCGTATCTGCGGCTGGCATCACTGGACATGCTGTCAGCTCCTTGTAATGTGCAGTAGGGGAGCTTGTTTTTGTTAAAGGGTTTTGTGCAGCCGCTGCCATCGATCGGTTTCGTCGACTAATTCAGGGGTCGCGGGCAATGGGGAGGATGCAAAGTCATAGAACAGCCTCAAATTGATGCATGTTCCGCTGTACTGGGATGCCTGACGACCCCCCCTTCTCCATGCACCTGGTCAGCTCTTCAGAAATGTCCAAAGGCTCGACAGTGTTTGCCACCTGGGCACCTGAAGGCGCTTGCTGCCTGCTCTGCCATGTTGGCAGGTGGGCATTAAGCCATGCCCTCACTCCTTCGGAGCTTGGCATGCGCCAGTCTCCCAGTCTTTAAACGCATAGCTGCTGGACATCCTTCAAGGTGCTTCAGGTTTGGGGTTCACCGGAGACCAGGGAAACCGGAATGCGAGTGTACATCTTCCTTCCCCAGTGCCCCAGACGATATTAGGTTAATCTGTGCGATGCTCCAAAGAGTCTGCTGCCGCCCCTTGAACTGGGGAACATAAGTACTTCCGCCGAAGAATGAATGTTTAGGGATAGTATTTTCACCCAAGATCTCGAGTTGAAAGTTCCACACTCACTTTGACCCTATTTCTGCGCTTGCGCTTCCTTGGCCGCGGAAGCCTTTTGGCGATCCTTGGAGCTCGTCGCCTTGTCCATCAGATCCCTGGCCTGAGAGGGTTGTCGGGTTCGGGATTTTCCCCACCTGCTCACCCAACCAGCTGCCAAGGGGAACGCCGGCACCGAACTCGCTAGGCTAGGGGGTCAAGGATTTAGTCTCGCCGATAGCAAGACAGCTGGCACATCCACTCCTACGGCCATTCACACTTCGAACCCCCTAGTTGAAGGTTCCCAGCCCTTAGCAAGAAAACCATGGGTCGCTTCTTTCTCGGGGGCGAGGAACAATAAAGGGAATGGAAGCACTATGAAGCACTGCAAGTGCTGTGGAACAGCCAACAACAGGAATCGGAAGCCTCGTGTGACAAGGATGCACGCGAGTGCGCTCACATCGAAGATGGTCATTACCGGCAACAGCGGCATCAACCATCACCATCACTATCACCGTCACTATCATCATCATCATCATCATCATCATCATCACCATCAGCAACATCAACATGATCCTCATCCTCCTCCTCATCATCATCAGATACGTGCCCCAAGCCCAAACCATCCCAAATCCCCCCTCTCCCACCAACAGCGCAGCCTGCTGTGCGTCGCTCAACCAGGCTGCAAGCTCCGAAGAAGCAGCCATCTCACATCTGCCCACCAGCCTGGCGTCTTGGGATGCACTAGAGCTACTCAAGAATTGGTTCCCGCTCCCTTGGAGAAATTTCAGGGCTTGGCAACCTCCGGATGCATCTGAAAGAAATTCATCTGTCTGCGGGCTCTATCCGCGCTCTGGAATGCTGTGTCAGCATGCTTCTTTAAGGGCTGTTCAGGGGTTGAAAAGGACAAGATGGCAAAATGATCTGAAGCCTGTTTCAGCTTGAGGCTGCTCAAGGAGGTGGTCCAGGCTCGGGTGGAGTCTGAAAAGGTCAGTGCGGAAAAACCCGCTGCTATCTAAACCGTGGGAGAAACAATGTAACAAGACGTCGTTTGCTAAGTCCTTGCCCACACCCTGATAACTCCAGCTCGCAGTCTTCCGCGCCTCTCGATATGACGGACATTGGCCTTCAGGGCGACGGCAAAGAATCTGACCGTCTAACCGGGAAGAATTAAGAGGTGCATTGCCTTTTCGAGCTGCTCATCTCGTAAGGAACTAACTGACTTTTCGAGCAGCGAGACTAGAGTGAGCTGCCAAGAAAGAGCATCAAGGTAGCGATAGGAGCAGGAGAGGAGAGGGAGGGAGCCAGACTCAAGAGAGAGACAGCAAGGGCCAGCGAAAAAAAGACTGGAGGGGAGAAAGAAGGGCACCATTCAAAGATCACACGCCGCAAAGCGTCGGCCTTGTCGGCTTCTGGCAACGTCTGCCACCAAAGCATCAGATTTCGGAGAGTAGCGACCACAGCGCCGTAGCGCTCCAGCTTCATGTCCACACCGCGGAATTCTTGCCAAGACGCGAGAGCTGCGGAGATTGCCACGACGATGGGTGTCCAGGCTGTCTGATCTGCTGCTGCAAGCACTGCCGTAGCACTGGTTGCGGCCATGAAGAATATCTGCATGAGCAGGCGGGTGCGCCGGACCTGTGGGATGCGACGACCATAGAAGTCACGCAGGGGTGTCAATCTCCAAATGATGTACTCTTCAGGACTCGCCGGCGCATGGTGACTGTCTCGGTCAGCTCCGGGATGAGTCTGTTGCTCTGGATGGGTTTTGAGTTTATCGGACTGACTTTTGAGCTCGGGGTACTGCTTGTGGCTTTGGTGTGCTGGTGTCAAGTTGTTTGCTTTCAGCCTCTCGTTCATCATGTCAATCCTGTCCTCTTTGTTGTGCCTCTCTCCATCGACACGGATGCAAACTTCGTCGGTGGTCAGGTGGTTCGCAAACTGGTCTTTCGGGCCAAGTGCAGCATCTGCAATCGCGAACATGTTGTCGCGAAAGCGCTCTTCGGCCTCGCTATGGGATACCCATTTTATGAATTTGTTTCTGGCTGTTGTGGCTATCTCTTTTTTTTCTTTCTGCTGGGCTTACGGGTCGATCACTCGACCCTCAGGCAATAGCCCGCCCAACCACCCAGTGTATCATTGGTTAGCTTGCTTCCGAGCTCTTTCTTTCGCCAGGGCTAGGGACAAGAGGGGCAAGCCCCCCTCGCCCGCGCGCGTTAGCGCCCCCGACATGTGGGGAGCGAGAGGTGAGATCTGCATGCACTACAAAGGCAGAGGCGGCTCGCGAAAGAAAGATGCGCAAACAGGGAGTACAACATCTAAGCCTAAAGTTCCGAGCTCTCTCTCTCTCTCTCCCTCTCTCCCTCTCTCTCTCTCTCCCCTCTCTCCCTTTTGCTTTGCTTTGCTAGGGGTTAGAGTCAGGAGGAGTTACCTCCTAACCCGCGCCGAAGCGCATCCCCATCCATCATTTTGACAGAGGGGCTTGGCTGTACGTTTGTGAGAAGGTTTGAGTGCTTCGATCTGTGTCGACGCCTCCGTGGGGGCAGGTACACTTCGCACTACAACCATCTAGGGTAACCTAAAAGATTTGTGCCTCCTCCGGAGTCCGCACTCTGTACGTCCTATTTGGTACCCCGCCTGTCCTGCCTTGACCCTGCCTGAAACCCGAACGGAAGCCTGATCCCCAGCACTGCCTGTGACCTTCCACTCAACCCTTAAACCTCTGCTCAGCTGGAGGGAGCCCCGGTGCAACACAGCAGGTACCGAAAGCAAAAACAAGACAGCTGGTGCCCCCTCCTTTCACTGAGTACTAGCTAAGCCACATTGGCGTGTGCTCGCCTCCTTCTGTGGCTGTCTGCGCTGGTGTCACTCTCGCTCAGTGCTTCTTCTGCTCGCTGTGGTCCCACTCTGGTAGGTGTCGTCGGGTGCCACGCTCCAGCACTCGTCGTTTGGTGCCACGGCACCGTTTCGGCGTCTGCGCTGTCAGCTTCTGGAGCCGTGGCTTCGCACTGGTCGTCGTTTTTTCCTTTTTGGTACCCCACCTCCTCTGGTGCAGCAGGTACCTCCTCTTGTTCAGCGGGTTCTTCTTGTGCCCCCGCCTCTGTCGTCGTCCCTGCTGTCGTCTCCCCTGCTTGCCCCGCTCGTACAGGTGCTGGTTGCCCTTGGGGTACTTCCTGGTGGCGTTCTTGTCGTTCTTGTTGTTGAGGTAGCGCGGGTGGTACTGGTAGTTCAGCTTGTAGCGCGTTGGTGCCCTGCAGGAAGGCCGGGTTCTCGTCGTCCACCAGCTCCACCACGTTTCCCCAGAACTGGGTGCTCCACTCCAGCAGGTCTGAGACTGCCGCTGCTGCCAGGTCTTGTGCCTCCCCACAGAGGAAGGGTACCAGCGTGCGCAACTTCTTGAGTGCTCGTAGCGGTAGCTCTGGTCTTGGTTCTGGTAGGTCCGGTTGCGAGTCTGGTTCTCCGCTGTGAGCCAGTACGTCCGCTGGGTGCCGCGGTCTTTTTCGCAGCGGTCTGTAGGCCTCCGCGGCGTCCAGGTCGTTCTCTTCTTCGTTGTGTGCCCCCCAGGCAGTTGTTTGGTGCAGCTCCGCTGCCTCCTGGGTCAGGTAGAGGGGGCGTTCGATGGCGTCCATCGCATAGGACAGGTGCCTCTCATCCCTGCGAAGCTCTGTCATCCCTGCGAAGCTCTGTGAGGAGGCTCTCGCATGTTTCCTGGGCCCTCTCAGCGTACTCTTCGCCTTGGTGTACAGCACCCCAGTCTCGCGCCCTGAGTGCCCCCGCAAAGAGGCGTGCCCCTTCTTGGAGCAGCTGCAGCACTTGCTCCAGGTCCTGAAGCAGGTCGTCCTTGGCGACTTTTTGGTGCATGTCCCCGAGGGCGGTGATCGTGGCCACCATGAGCTGCAGCAACTCGTGTGCTGTGGCGTGAGGGTTGGGCGGGGTAGGCTGTCCGTGTGCTCCTGGTGGTTGGTGGCTGCCACTGTACGTGTCTCGGCTGCTTTGGCTGTGCCTGTAACAAGGCTTCTCCTCTTGTCATCTCCACTATCCTCAGGAGACACCTTCTCGCTCTTGCGGCTGCTGCTCTTGCTTCCTGCTCTGTCTGTGTTGGGTGCCTCGTGGTTAGTCTGCGCTGCATGAGGTCTGTTCTGTCTGGCTCTTTGTCTTGGCTTGGCCAGCTGGTCTCGCTTTCGTCTCCTTGTGCTGCTGCGGTTGCGGCTGCTGCCAGGACCTGTGGCGGCGGTGCTTTGGAGCGGGCAGGAGAGCTGGCCTGCTGAGGTGGTGTCTGTGGCTGGGGCTGTGGTTGGGTCAGTGGTTGCTGTGTCGGCGTCTGCTGCGGGTCTCCTTGCTGCGGCGGGGGTGCTTCAGAGGGGTCAGGTGGAGTGTTGTCGGTCGTGGACGGCTCTGCTGGGTGTTGGGTCCCGGCTTCCCCCGGGTGGGTAGCAGGTGGTGGGCCCGTCTGTGTGTTGGTGTCCCCCGTGTCAGGGCGCTGTGCTGCTCCTTCTGAGGCTTGTGCCCCGCTGCTGTCTTGTGTTCTTGGGGGGATTACGATCTCGCGGGAGTACCTGCCGAGTTCGTGTAGTCTGCTTAAGCTGTACAGTTCCCACTTCCACTTGCCATCTTGCCAGGTTATGATAGCCTGGTCTCCTTTGCTGAACCTGATGGCTCCTCTGGAGTGCACAACGGGTGCCTCGTGCACCCTGATATGCCAGGCGAATGGCTGGCCATGTCTAAGGGGTCCCACCGCCCTCATAAAGAGGGATACCCCCATTCCAAGGTAGTAGCCCCGGACACTTTCCTGTGTTGGGTCGTCCTTTGTCGCGACTATCGTCGCTGCTGTGTGTGCCGGCGGTGGTGGTGGGCTGGTGCTCCGCTGTCTGATGGCCCCTGCCAGCCAGATGCCGCTTGGCATGGCCTGGTAGATGATCGCCAGGAAAGGTCCCACAGGAAGGACTGGTGGGTAGGTGAGGGGAGGTGCTCCTCCCACGGAGTAGAGTTGCAAGTTGGTTTGGTCCTCCCTCCAAGTGAAAAGCAGGGTTGCCTGCCCGGTCGGCTGTGACTGGTTCCGTGCTTGTTGCGGTGGTGGCTGTGGTTCTTGTGGGGCTGGCTGCCCCTGTGTTGGGTCCTGCTGCGGCGGCGTCTGCCAGCTGCTGCTCGCCGTGTGGCTGCTGCGGTCGGGGGTGGGTGGCCTCAGTGTCGTGTGTTGCTTGTTGTGGTGGCTGTGGGTCTATTCCCTGGGCTGGTTGCCCCGCTGCTGCTGCGTGTGCATCTCCTGGGTCGGTGTTCCCCGGCTGCGGCTGTGGGTGGGGCTGCTGCCGCTGTTGGGTCTGCTGTTGCTGATGCCTCTGTAGCTGGGCCATTCGCTCCTCGTGTGCCGCTGTTGCAGCTGTGTCTGCTTTGGTGCCCCGTGCTGGGGTGTTTTGTATCCAATGGTTTTGGTCTCTGAGGACTGCCGCGACGTTGAGTGGTGGTGCCGGGGCTGTGGTGGGTTTGCTGTGTAAGTACCTGTACAGTTGTGCCTCAGCTTGTGTCCACGTGTGGTGATTCGGTTTGTGCAAGCCGTACTTCAAAAATTGTTCCTTGGCCCATTCCTTTCTTTCCCTGTGGGCCATGCGAGCGGGTCCGTGGCCTTCGTGGCGTCGAGGCCTCTGCCTTGTGTTCCCCTGCTGGGGCTGGTGCGAGGCCGTGCTTGCTGTGTCAGTGTCCGTCTGCTGTGGGTCTCCTTGGTTGCGGTCAGCGGTTAGGCCTGGTGGGTGCTCCCATGGCTGCGGGTGTGGTTGCTGCTCCTGCTGAGCGTGTTGTGCTTGCTGGCTTGCGTCTCGCTGGTTCTCGGGGTGGGGGTCGCTTTCCGTGGTGTCCTCCTGTTGCCGGCTTGGGAGGAGGTCTGGGTGTCGCGGCTGCTCGGCTGACGGGTACGACTGTTGTGGCTGTCTCCTCTGCGGCAGGCGCTGGGGCGAAGGCTCTGTCAGCGGCGCTTGGCCACTAGCTTGTAAAGCGGTTGCTGGTAGGGCTGCGGCTCGTGCTTGTTGGTGCCCGGTCTCCTGGTGCTGCAGCCGTGTTGTGGGTGGTTGTTCTGGGGGTTGTTCCTGCCCTGGCTCTGTCGCTTCTGCTCTTGCTTCTGCTGTTGGTGCTCCCCAACCGCTGAACGCCACATGCGGTGGCACCGGGTAGAGGGTCTCTCCTGCCGCCGGCATCTGGTGCCCCCTGTGGTGGCTGCGAGGCTTGTGCTTCAGAGCTTGCTGCTCCAGTTGAGCCGCTTGCTTGGTTTGTTCCTTCTGTGTTCCTGGCTCTCGCTGCTGCTCCCAGGCGGGTTTGCGGTAGCTCGGCTTCAGCTGGTGCTCCCTGCTGCGGCTGCAGGTCTGCAGGTGCTTGCGCCTCGTATTGCGGCTGCAGGTCGGTGGGTACTGGCTGTGGAGTTTGGAGTGCCTCCGCAGTTCTGGTACTGCCTGGTTGTCTCGGTCGCCCCGACACAGAGTCTGGTGCGCCCAGTCTCGTTGCACTTTGAACCCCTGGTGCTCCCCCTTTGCTGTAGGCAAGGAAGCCCAGCCAACTCAGGACGAGTGCCGGGAGGAGTTTCATGGCTTCACTCAACTTGGTGCCTCGAGAGCGGTCGCTGCGGTGAATGCCGAGGCTGATCTCATGCAACAACGTGTTGAAACATGTCATGCAAATGTGTGCACATGCCCAAGTGTCTGCTATGCGGAAGGCTGCTTAGGCCGGTGCTGTCGCCGTCTGTCTCTCTCACTCTGTGGAAGCGTGGAGGGTGGCATGTAACAGTGGACCCGGTGGCAGTGGAAGCAGTTGCAGCAGGTAGGGGGGGGGGGGAGGGGGGCACGGAGTGGCCGTCACTTTCAGGCTGGCTTCGTCAGCCGTCATGCGTGATCGGCCTTCGTCTCGCCCTCCTGTTGGGTGCGAGGTTGGTCAGTGCTGGTTGTCTGCCGCTGCTCCAGGGCACGTCATGCTTGTCGACAAAGGACTGGAGCCTATTCTCCCACGCCTCTCTGTTCCGCGCGAGTTCCCACCATCGGGCTGTTCCAGCGACGTTGACGATGTGCCTCTCTGTGTCCATGTTTGTGTTGTACCTCCCCGCGTGCTTTGCTCCTTCTCCTCTCGGCTTTCGTTGCTCCTCCGCCCAGAATTCCATGCCACGCCAGGTGAGTAGCTCTCTCGTCGTGGTGTTCTTGGCTCTTCCCACGTGTCCCCACAAGTTCCAGATGGCTTCCAGCACTCGTGTGCTCCATCTCGGGATCTCCAGGCGGTGGAGGATGATGCGGGCCGCTCGAAGGGTCCTGGTGTTCCAGGTGATCCAGTCCTCTCCTGGTCGTCTGGGCGACCCCACCATTGCCCTGACTTGCTGGAGCTGCAAAGCGTTGGCACTTCTGAGAAGGGAGTCGTGCAGCGGCCAGGTGGGTGCCCCCCAAAGCGCCGCTTCCCTGACGATCATGCCATGCGCCTTTAGCCTGCTGGCCAGTTTGGTCTTGGCGCAGAGTGTTTTCTTGTTGGTGTGGAAAGCCTTGCGCGCCCTTGACGACATCTCGGCGGTGAGGTGCGCCGGTCCTCCTGCGAAGGAGACCGGCGAGCCCAAAACCATGATGGCGTGGTCCACCCCCTGTGTGGTGACTTCGTGCCCCGCGATAATGAGGGTGTGTTCCCCCTCGTTGGAGATGGCGCAGGTCTTGAGGTGGTTGATATAAAGGCCGTGTTTCGCCAGGTGTGTTTCCAGCGTTGATATGGTGCTCTGTACGTGGCTTTGCGTCTCGCCCCAAACGTAGACGTCGTCCATGTACCCCGCGGTGTAGTGAGGGGGTGGAGGGAGCAGCGGGTTGGGGCTGGTGGTCGGCTTGTCAACGGCGTCCGCGGTCTGTTGTAGGGTCTTGCCGATCAGAGCTGAAAACACCACCGGAGAGTCTGGTCCCCCCTGTCGTACTCCATTCGATTGTGTGATGTACACGCTGGTGCCTCCGAACTGGACTTCCATGCTTTGTGCGTGTAACAGCGAGAGCCATACCCGAGCTTCCCATGGAAATCCTTGGTGCCCCACGTGTTCCAAGACTAAGTCAGACATACTCCGTTGCGACGCGCTGTCGAACACCTTCTTCACGTCCAGCTTCACAATGATGAAGGGTCCCCCCCAGTCCCGAGCCATCCTCGCTATCTTTCGGATAGCCAACAGCATTTCTACTGACTGGCGTCCTTTGGCACACCACTGCAGTCGGCAGATGGGTGTGAACAAGTGTTGTGTTCGGTAATGGAGGAGTTGTGCCAGCCATTTGAGCATGGACGAGGAGATGGTAATCGGTCTGGTCTCCGGGTCGGAAGTTTGGGCAACAACACTGTTATCCCCCGTTCAAGTAGCCCTGGAAGGGTGCCTCGATATAGGGCGTCGTTCAGGACGTAGACGACCCTGTGGATCCACTTGTCGCGCTGCATAAGTACATGGAGTGCCTCGTGAACGATGCCGTGGGGTCCGGCGGCTTTGCGCCGCGGCCATCTTGCTTGGGTCACCCGCAGTTCCTCGATGGTGAAGGGGTTCCACGCAGTGGTCTTGCACAGGAGCGCCAAAGTGTGCTTGCCTCGCTGGATGTGTTGGGTCACCTCCGACGGAGCGTCCTTGTAGAAGATGTTCTCGAAGTGTTGT